ATCATCAACAAAATTTGACTTCATCCAACTCTAAATACTGCATTTCACAGTAAAAATACAAAAAACAAACAATTCAACAATCTCGAAACCAATCTGAACACCGAATCATTCAAAGTCCAAAAAATGCATGCGAATACGCAATGTGTATGTATAGGTGTATTCACAAGGGAAACAGACTGAAACCTAAATAAGCCTGAATAGCCTTCTGAAGATCTGCATGCTTTTTAGGAGAGCACTCCTTGAGCATAGACTCGAATGCTCTCGTCACAAAACCGCCAGCTGCGCCGCCCGCCATCTCTGAAAATTATCCGAAACGTACGTCTGCAATTCGGATCATACCAAGATCCATTAAACATCAATTGCAACGGTAATCGAAGATTGAATGAGAGAGAGTGAGAGAGAGAGAGAGAGAGAGAGAGAGAATTGTACGTTACCTTGTTCGAATTGACCGTTGAAGTCTTGAAGATGATCACAAATGCGAAGACGTCGTCGTTTAGACTGGCGAGGCGAGAGCGCAGAAACAGAGATCTGGGAATTGGGATAAAGGCGGAGCTAGTCGAGCACAATGCGACTGTATACTCGAGATCTAATGCGTCGTCGTTCTGGACTACCGCTGCTGGTATTGGTTTGGTTTATGGTCTTGTGCTACCGGAGCATTGCGACGACGGGGTTTGGGTCTTCTGAGACTTTTGCGCCAGTAGAACTGTAGAAATGGAAGCTGCTGATTCAGATTTCGGTCCAGGCCATATTTCGATTTTGACCCTTGGAATTTGGTAAATTGTTTCTTCAGGTCGTTCCTCCTCCTTTTCGGTTTAAAGCCGGGTCAATTGTGAAATGGGTACTGTACTGTTAACAAAGTGCGTAAGAGGTAAAAATAAGTGCATGATGTTATAAATACACAAAATTTAGAGAAATAATCTTTGTTAAGAGCGAGAGAGAAGCAAATGTAATATATCATACTGTTTTGTTTATTAACTACAACATAATGATTGCATGTAAAAGAGAAATAGGATAATGAAGAAAATATTCTAACTTATCTTTCTTTTCTTATTGTTTTTGTATCCGTGTGTTTTGAACACTCATAGTGCTTTATTTATAGAGCAACTATCTTGAAAACTTATAAAAACTTCACTATTTAGCATATGAATCTTTACTGTATACATGTGGGCAAACATACCCACTATTTACAACACTCCTCCTTGGATGCCCACATATCAACATCAGATGCCTGTTAAAACCTTGCTTGGAAAAACCCAGTGGGAAAAAACCATAGTGAAGGAAAAAGAGTACAACTTTACCCGGATTGTTGATATGGTGTTAAGCATGCTTATGTTGCCTCATTAAAACCTTGATAGAAAAACCCAGTAGGAAAAATCCTAATTGAAGGAAAAAGAGTACAACATGCATATATCATGGATGCTCCCCCTAAATTGTATCTTCCCCTGATTCTGCATTCTTCAAATTTGTAAGCCGACGTAATCCGATTCCCTGCAACTTCTGAAATGTGCATTTTGGTAGAGATTTGGTGAACAAGTCTGCCAAATTTTCATGGGAACGGATTTGTCTGACTTCAATAACTTTAGTCTTCTGAATCTTATGTGCACTGAAAAACCTTAGAGATATGTGTTTAGTCTTATCACCTTTGATGGATCATTGATCTTAACCAATAACATTCACGACTTGCTTCATGTCAAGCAATTATTTCCGAATGATTGGAAGATGTAGCAACTAATGTTTGCTTCGTTGAGTGCCATGAAATGGTTGTATCTCCATTAATGAACACATATCCAGTTTGTGAGCGGGCTTTATGCGAATCGGAGAGAAAACCAGCATATGCGTATCCAATAAGGATCTGGTCATTTGTAGACTTGTCTGAGTAGAAGAGACCCATGTCTATTGTCACGCGAAGGTATTGTAAAACATCTTTAACTTCCTTCCAATGAGGAATTGTTGGAGCAGAGTTATACCTAACTAACAAGTTTACTGAAAAAGCTATATCTGGTCTAGTACATTGTGCTAAATACAATAAAACACCTATTGCACTCAATTATGGTACTTATGGACCAATGACTAGTTCATCATCTTCTTTTGGACGAAATGGATCTTTCTTAATGTCCAAAAAACAAACAACCATTGAGGTGCTAAGTGGATAAGCCTTGTCCATGCCAAATCGCTTCAGTATTTTTTCAATGTAAGTTGATTGATGGACCAAAATTCCATTAGCACAATGCTCGATCTGCAGGCCAAAACAATATTTTGTTTCCCTAAGGTTTTTCATTTCAAATTCGCTTTTCAAATACTCAGCAGTTTTATTGAGTTCCAACTATCATCAACATATACTGCCACTATAGCGAAACCAGTATTTGATTTCTTAATTAATACACAAGGGCAGATGACATTGTTGGCACATCATTCTTTGATCAAATACTCACTGAGACGATTATACCACATTCGCCCAGATTGTTTTAGCCCATATAATGATCACCTTAATTTGATTGAGAACATACCTCGTGGTTTGTTAGTCGTTTCATGCAACTTAAGTCCTTTTGGGACTTTCATATATATGTCAATATCTAATTCTCCATATAGATACGCAATAATGACATCCATAAGTCGCATATCAAGTTTTTGTGAAATCAATAAACTTATTAAGTAACGAAACGTAATTGCGTAAATTACAGGAGAGTATGTCTCTTCATTATCAATTCTAGGTCTTTGTGAAAAACCTTGTACAACGAGTCTTGCTTTATATCTTGCAATCTCATTTTTCTCGTTGCGTTTCCTTGTGAATACCCATTTGTAACCTACGGGGTTCACACTAGGTGGGGTTTGGACTACTAGTCCAAAAACAATTCGCCTTTCCAAGGAATTTAATTCTGTCTGGATTGCATCTTTCCACTTAGACCAATCATGTCTCTGTTTGCATTCATCAACAGAGCGGGGCTCAATGTCATCGCTTAATATGATTTCAGTGGCTACTGCGAAAGCGAACATATCATCGATGATTAATTCATTTCGATCCCACAATTCATTAGTACATGCATAATTTATAGAGATTTCTTTGCTTTCATGTACTTCAGTCTCTTCAGGGACATGTATCTCATTAAGGACATTTTCTTTTTCAGAAAATTTAGAATCATGAATTGTGGATTTATCATTCACTTTCTTTTCATGAACGATTTCATTTGGATTCAGCTATGCCCTCATCTTTCTCTTTTGAGGGGCTGAATCTTTTGAACCTAGTGGTCTACCACGCTTCAGGCGTGCACCAGATGAATCATTTGCTATCACTTTATTTTGTCCACGGGGACATTAATTCTTACAGGTGCATTTGTAGCTGGTATATGTGACTTTGTCACTTTTGAAGCATCATTAAATGCATCTGGCATTTGATTAGCAATACTTTAAAGATGAACGATCTTTTTCACTTCATCTTCACATTGAGTGCTTCGTGGATCAAAATGAGATAAAGTGGGAACAATCCATGTCAGTTCTTGCCGTTATTCTGGAACGGTATTTTCTCCCTCTAATGACGGGAAGACTGTCTCATCAAATTGACAATCAGCAAAACGAGCTGTAAACATATCACCTGTTAAGGGTTCCAAATATCTAATAATAGATGGTGAATCAAAACCCACATAAATTCTTAGTTTGCGCTGAGGTCCCATTTTAGTGCATTATGGCGGTGCAATAGGATCATAAACAGCACAACCAAAAACTCGTAAATGTGAAATGTTCGGCTGATGCTCAAATACGAGTTGTATTAATGAGTATTGGTGGTTAGCTAAGGATCTCAACCGAACCAATGATGCAACATGTAAGATGACATGTCCCCATGCAGAGACTGGCAATTTTGTTTTCATGAGTAGAGTGCGAGCTATTAATTGAAGCCACTTGATAAATGCCTCTGCTAAGCCATTTTGAGTATGGACATGAAGAACAGAGTGTTCAACATCAATGCCCAGTGTCATGCAGTAATCATCAAAGGTTTGAGACGTAAATTCACCAACGTTATCAAGTCGGATTGACTTAATGGGATAATCTGGGAAATGTGCTCGCAACTTAATTATCTAAGCAAGAAATCTTGCAAACGCTACATTTTGAGTAGATAAGAGGCAAATATGTGACCATCGGGTAGATGCATCAACCAAAACCATAAAATATCGAAATGGCCCACAAGGTGGTTGAATAGGCCCACAAATATCCCCTTGAATTCGTTGCAAAAATGATGGGGATTCATCATCAACCTTTAGTTGTGATGGTCTAATTACCAACTTCTCTTGGGAACAATCCTTGCAAGGGTTATCATTTGAGACATCAATGTGTCTGCTCAATAATGGATGTCCATTAGAGTTGGTAATGACTCTACGCATCATGGTAGATCCTGGATGACCCAAACGGTCATGCCAAAGCATATAAACTTTTGAATCAATGAATTTCTGGTTCATGACAGTATGTGCCTCAATTGTCTTTATGTATGTATAATACAATCCACTCGATAAAACATGCAACTTCTCCAATATATGTTTCTGGGTATCTGGAGGTAATGCATAGATATTCCACATTTTCTGCACTTTTTGTTTCAATGTGGTATCCATTTAGACGTATGTCTTTAAAACTCAACAAATTTCGAGTGGATCGAGTATCGTACAACGTATTTTGTATGAACAATATTGTTCCATTTGGTAACATGATCTGGGCTTTTCTTGAGCCTTCAATTACATTTGATTGCCCTGATATTGTTGTTACCTTTACTTTTGCAAGTATCAAGTTCGAGAAATACTTTTGATCTCGAAATATTGTATGCGTGCTTGCGCTGTCTGCAAGACAAAAATCTCCACCATTACTCTTGTTTTGAGAATAACCATAATTTTTATACATGCTCTCTGAGTAATGGAAATTATAGTTAAAAGCAGTTTATTCATACTGGAATACTACTTTGAAAATGCAAGCATTAAATCACAAGTACAAATAACAAGAGTACATCAAACATAATTGATTTAATTGGACCCAAACACTTCATTTCCTCTTTCCATAATGAAGTCTGAAACATCCAGGTGGGTTGTGTTCAATTGTCCTGATAAATCGAACACTGGATCAAGTATATCTATCTGTATAGCCTGGTCGAGGAAATTGGTCTCGACACCCTTCTCATTGAGGGAAGCTTGATACAGATCCACCAGATGTTTTAGGGTACGACAGGTACGTGCCCAGTGCCCATTGCCACTACACCTATGGCAAACTCCTTCAGGATTTCTAAGAGTGTTCATATGAGCTTTGCCTTTTTGGCGATTTGCATTTTTAAAGCTCGGACATGTATTATGCCTTAGAACCTGGTTGTGAAATTGGACACCATGGTTCTTGCCTTTTTGGCCTCGTTTATGGCCACGTCCTCGTTTGTGATTATTGTCATGAGAGGATGTGGTATTCCCTTCAAAGGAAACAACATTCACTTTTGGGAATGGTGCTGATCTAGTAGGTTGGGACTGATGATTCTTCATCAGAAACTCATTGTTTTGCTCAGCTACAAGGAGCACAGGTATCAACTGGTTGTACTGAGTAAAGCCTCGCTCTCTATACTGTTGCTGCAGGTGCACGTTAGAGGTATGAAAAGTGTTGAAAGTCTTTTCCAGCATGTTTTCCTCAATAATGGTTTCTCCACAGAACTTCAACTACGAGGTAATTATGAACATAGCAGAATTGTACTTAGCCACCATCTTAAAGGCATGGATCCTTGGGTGAGTCCACTCATAACGAGCCCTCAGAAGAATCATCGTTTTCTGGTGATTGTATCTGTTTTTCAGTGCCTTCCAGAGGATTAGTGGATCTTCAGCCGTGAGGTACTCGCTCTTCAGTCCCTCATTAAGGTGGGACGGATAAAGATCATGGCCTTTGCCCAATCTTGAGAAGATGCACTGTTATTCTCCTTAATAGTTTCTCCAAGATTCGCTGCCTCCAGATGAATCTTGGCATCCATTACCCACGTAAGGTAATTCTTCCCAGTAATATCTAGGTTAACAAAATCAAGTTTTGCCAAGTTCGTCATTTTCTTTTCTTAAAGAAAAATGAGGTGTGTAAGAACTTGCAATATTCTGTATTCTGGAGGAATATATTGTTAGAACTTCTGGTTATTACAAATTTTTCATTATGATCTTCATGCCAAAATGATAAGCACTCGAAACTTCAGGCTTGAGATTTACATGATGAATGAGGAGGGCGATTGTACTGCACCATTCTCATTGAATAGCATATGATGGACAATTATTCCGCACCACTCAAGCAGTAGAAATTTAAATATGCAGAGCAGGGTGGGTGATTATACCACACCACCTAAAATTGCAATAAAATTAAATAGCAGGCAAATTTAAATATGCAGGGTAGGATGAGCGATTATACCACTCCATCTAAAATTTGCAGTAAAATTAAATCTGCAGTCCAAGATGGGAGATGATACCACACCATCTTTGATTGCAGCAAAGATAAATAAACATTGGGTTAGAAATTAAGAACTGCAACAAACAAGAAATCAAAGATATAAGTAATTGTTATGTTGAGAAGTAAAAGTAGGCATGGTGCAAACAATTCTTCACGAGGGTATATCCAACAAGTGAGGCAGAGAAAGAAGAAGAACTGACACAGCTCGACCTGGAAAGGTCGAAGCATGCTGGGCATCACCGTGAGATGATGTAACCATAAGGGTAAGTGATGCAAAAAGTGAATAAAATTGAAACTAATTAGAACTAAACAATGAAAGAGTGCGCAATCGTGGGGTGAACCCACTACAATTATTCAGAGCGTAATAGACAGTGAGACAACAGAAGAGTAGTCAAAATAACTAAAGTACACTTATTACATAACAGTGATAAGTTTGTATGTCTAAAACAGAAGGAAATGTTAGAACTGCCAAGATTCCTCGAACGCCACAAATAGTACAATTATCTATGTCCTAGAGGGGCGAAAAACAAAGTTGAGTGGGCCAACAAAACAATGCTTATAAGAAAACCTTTAACTTTGAAAATACTAACCCCTCGCCGTAAAACAAGTATAGTTTCCTTAAAACATACTACTCAGGTATATAAATGATAATTCGATAATATTATAGCAGTATAATAACCAGGAATATGCCAAGTAATGATGTATCAAATGCCATAATAATAATCATGTGATAATCAAGTATAGCTAAGTGTTCATCCATCTAAGCTGACACACAAGTTCAAACATATAATTTATGACACGAACAAGATTGGGTGTAATCAATATGCTCTAGTACTACGATCACGTGAAGGCTGGCGCAGAAGCACGGTCACATACAAGTGGGATTGCCTATTGCAATTTACCCGACATGACTGACACTTAACTTGGATCCAAGGCGAGCGAACGGTGCGATGTGAACATACACGTGAAGGACTAGCCCTAGCCCTGGGGTGAGTACTAACACCGGGGAGCAGTAAGATGAGCATGTACAATTATATATATATAAATGTCATGACAGTAATATCTCAACCATATAGCAGCATTTATCACAATTAATATCACTATAACAATACTTGGCAAAATAAGCGTAAAAGTGAAGTAAATACGCATTTATGAAAACTATAAATATGTATAGGTATAAAAACAAACTGCCCACTCACAAATACGTTGTTGGGTCAAAGCCCCCGAGACTAGCTTGGCCTCGTAAATCCTCTAGATAAGTTTCCCCTATATGTGAAATAATATAAATAAAACCCCCATAGTTTGCTCAAACCTAGGGTTTAAATATATACTCGACGACACGGACACACACGTGTCGACCACACGCCGGCCGGAGGCCAGACGAGCCATCACGGGCCGCCTAAAGGGGTTGCACAAACTGATCACGCGCCCCCACGCTTCTGCGAGTATAGACGTACTCGCCTTCCTCGCGATTTTCTGTAGTTTTGCAGATTTTTGGGCCAACTTTCAAAGCTCCTAACGAGCTCGTTCTCAACCAGAAACACTTCTACAAAAGCCAAATTAAAGCTAGGAATGTGATGTATCGATCCCATTTCACAGAAATTTCGAAAACGGTCCGTGTTATTCAGGAATTTGGCCTGAAAGTGGCCAAATGACCACGGTTGCAGATTTCCAGAAAACAAGAAATTTCTTCCTAACTTCTAGAGTTGATTTCTAACTCGTTACTTAACCAAACTCAGTGATTCAAAAGCCATTTTGAAGTTAGGAATGTAGAGAACAAGTTTGTACCTAATAGGAGTCCAGCTGTGGTCGAGGTTGACAGGAAAAATGGGTTGAAAGTGACCAAATGATCACGGTCCTTGACTTAAAAATGTGCAGATTATTCTTCTCGAGTTTTCTAGGTAAAATCATACGTTCAAAACACAAACAAGAGATCAATATCAACCCATAGAATTGAAATGAAGGCTCTAAGGGTTTCTCGAGGCTTACCTAAGCCGTGAATGGTCTGAAAATCATAGAATCGAGACTCATCGAGTCGGACCTTCCGAGTTGGTGAGTCAAAACTCGTCTAAACCAGATTTCAAGGACATGGTTGTGATCATGAGGCTGAGATGAGCACAATGGTGTAGTTTGTGAGTTCAATCTACGAGCTTTGAAGCTCGTTCATGGCATTGCAGAGAAGATGGAGTATACGGGAGGGAGAGAGAGTTTCATTTTTTTTTCTTTCTCTTGGATTCTGATTGGTGGACAGAAACGAGGGAGAAGATGGGATGTGATTGGTTGCTAGAGTGTATGGGATTGGTTGGATGAATAATGGAGGGGATGCACGAGTAGGATAAAAAAAGGAATCCAAAGGATAGGATTTTAGATTCCCTACAGTAAAAGGAAATCGAAATATATCCAAAGTAGATATTTTTACATTTTAAAAGTCTATGCCGACTCATACTAGCGTGTACAATTTAAATGTGATAGCGAGAAATAAAATGAAAGTAATAAGAATACATCCACGTCACTTGCCAATAAGGGCATAATCGTCAAATTACAGACTTGGGGAGAAATTATATATGAAAATTAGGGACAGGTCGTCACAAGAACAGTAAAATCCTTGAAGGAAACATTTTTTTCTTTCGGCGAAGAGAAATGAGAAATGTTTTAGGGTTAGAGAGTCGTGCTGATAACGTATTATAAATAGGCAAAAGTTAGAGAAATAACATTTGCTAAGAGCGAGAGCAAAACGGATGTAATGTATCACACTGTTTTGTTTATTAACTATAACAGAATGATTGCAGGTAAAAGAGAAATAGGAGAATGCAGAAAATATTCTAACTTATCTTTCTTCTTTTATTGCTTTTGTATCCGTATGTTTTGAACACTTGTAGTGCTCTATTTATATACCAACTACCTTGAAAACTTACAAAAACTTCACTATTTAGCATATAAATCTTTACTGTATACATGTGGGAAAACATACCTACTGTTTACAACACATGAATAGTATTTCAATTATAAAAAAAATAATAGGTTCGTTTGGAATGATTTTGAATGACTAAAATCACACTATCACTCGTCAATGCACTCATTATAAAAATAAGTGCGTGAATAACACTTTTTTGGATGAATCCATTGCATTCTCCACACGTAGACGATGACTAATCCCTTGAGCCAGGTCGGATCCCATTCAGGGGGCAAGCTCTCCCAACGTCAAACGAGCCCAATGTTTTCCCTTGCCAAATTGAAATACTAGTTTATAATAATTTTGCCAATGTGCTAGACTTTAGTTATTTTTTAATTGTAAAAGGTTAGTTTTTTAAATAGGAGAACTAATGAAAATGACTTGAAAACTTTGAGTTTTAACGATAAGAACAAAATAAAAGGTAAAGTGAATAGTATCATGATTGACTTTTTAGTGTAAAAATGTGGTTTTTCGTTAAAATGAACAGTACTGAGAGCTTTTTGTTAAATTCCCTTTTTAAATACAATGATATAATTATATAGGAGAGTTGGCTAAACCAAATGGTTTGATTCTTGTTTTTTTTTTTTTTTTGTCAATTTGATTCACATGAACAAACTCGCAAAGATCAGTATGATTTTAATTTTTAAAAATCATCGACTAATCAAACCAAACCGCATACATATAATGTTATATTTACTAAAAAAATTGTTACATGCTCTACGAGCCTTATGATTTTTTTTTTCTTTTCTTTTAGCGTGACTTTAGGGAGTAGCATTGAATTCATGAATTTAAAAATCAAGTACTTTGAGTTAAAGAGAATAAAGTTTGAGACTTTGAGTTGTGCGATTAAGTATTTTGAAGTTATGAGATTAACAATTTACTAATGAACATTTTATAAATTGACATGTTTATAAATTTGATTAATACTCTTCCAATATAGCTATGTAACTTCAACAAATATGTTCTCCTAGTCACCAAATAATCAAGAAATACATGTTAACCCACTATTGATTCCGTATTAGTATTTTTTATTCCATATTAGTATTTTTGACTCGATCAACTGACTTAACTCATAATATAATTCACAAATATCTATTTATTTATTAATTTGGACTAATCAAGAATCACAATTTACACAGTAACACCTCGCTCAACCAAAATGGCTCTATAATGTAAAATTATACTTTTACAAATCAAAACTCCAGATCATCCCCAAAAAGGTAGAGCAGTCTCTCAACGGCCCAGCTGGGCTGCGATCTGCTGTGATCCCAGCTCAGGCTCTGTATCTGCGATGGCGTCAGCAATGGAGTCCTGCAGAGCGGGCAAGTCTTGTGATTATCCTCATCATGATTATCATGATGGTGGTGCTGATGATGATCATCATTGTACTCGAGCCACCTGTCAATGCACTCGGTGTGGAACACGTGGCAGCAGTTCCGCATCTCCCTCACCTCGTCCCCCGTCTCCAGCTGGCTCAAGCACACCGCGCACGTGTCGCAGTCGCCGCCGCCGTTGCTTCCGTAATTCCCTCTCCGGTCTGCGATTTCTCCGAAGGTGGTCTGAATCAGACAGTCCCTGATCAGTTGGGTAGAAGCGGAGGAAGAAGAGGAGCAAGATTCTTTATCGGACTCGGCCTGTAGGAAATCAAAACCCTCCTCGGCGGTGGAGGAAGCGGAGGAGGAGGAGAGTGTTTGTCTGAATCTGAGCGCCCAGAACACAACCCATCTCATCAAAGCAATTACAAATGCCGCTTTGTACAGTACGTGGCTAAGTATCAAGCCCGACGAGGACGAGTCGTCGAAGACGAAGAAACCCATCGGATCAAATCCGAGCAGCGAAGAAACCATAGGAAGGAAGAAAAATGCAGAGCAAGCAGAGGAAGAAGAGAAGAAAAGCAGAGGAGGAGGAGGGAGGAGGAGGAAGGAGGAGGAAAAGGGGAAGTGCTCAATGGCATCCAGCTGCTTTATAAAGAGGTGGGTTTGTGTGTTGTGAAGTGGAAGGATGATGCGTGTGGGGTCCCGTTTGCTTTTATGCTTTGTGACCGACTGGCTGACTGGTCACCGTTGTCGTTTGATTCGTTATTGGGGGATTGATTTGTGCGTTTCTGAGTCAGTTGGAAAGGTCGGTGGCTCATTGGTTTTAAATAGGTTGGATTATGTTTGGTTTTGTTGATTAATTAGAAGATTAGGTAGGTGGAATTAAAATATAGGTTTTGTAATGCATCATCATTAAAGGTAAAGCATGTGGATCTGATCATAAGATTACAACTAACTTTTTTCCCTTTTTTTTTTTCTTTTAATTTCGCCCCTTGTTTATATACCTGCTTTGATGACCAATTGTGTTATAAGATGGGTAGGCAAGTGTCAACTCATTGATCTGTTGTGAAATTCACTTATATCAGAACCTTTATTAAAAGGGAATTTTACTTTTAATTCACTTATATCAATGTCTTAATTCGAAAGGATTTCTATGTTTTAAAAATTGGGAACCGGATTCTCTCCGGATCCAAATAAATTGAACTCTATCATCAAATGATCCGAGTCATTGAAATTTGATCCAACGGATACAAACAGGGTTGCCCTCTAAAAGTTATAAAAATTGTAGCAGTTTGATTGAATTTCAATGGTTCAGATCATTTGATTATTGGACTCAATTCCTTTGGGTCCGAAGGGGATCCCGTTCCTAAAAATTGGAAACAAGTTGTGGGACTCATTATACAATGAACTTGAATGATTCGAACCGTTTATTTTGTAAGTCCTCATTTGATTGTCATAATGAAATTTTAATGTTTGTTAAAACATAGTGCTCTTCGATTTCTTTGAATTCATTCAGATGCCTCAAATATTTTCAATTTGACTAATATTTTGCAAGAATGATTTGTAAAGTGCAACTTAAAAAATAGATAGATCAGATTATTGAAGTTCGATGTGGAATGGTCCCATAATTGGTTCCCATTTTGACCTAAAATGGGAATACCTTTGGATAAAGGGCCTGCACTTATATTAACGACTGACAATCACTCAAACTTTAGTATTTGACATCTACATGGTTGTCTGTTAGCCATTGATGCATTGTAAAATCAACTTACATCAATAGTTGACAATTATTAATAGTCACTGACATGTACGTCCATGATCACTAGTGGTTGATAGATTATGAGACCCAAATCTATCAACCCAATTAGATTGACCATTGGCAACCATACAAGTGCTTGTGTGTGCAATTGTCATTGATGACACATATGACAGTCGTGTATCGATGCATTTTAATACTCACTTACGTCAACGACATGAACTATCAATCACACATCTGTTAATGCGTAATGAGATTCACGTACATCGTAGCTAACAATCGCTTTGTCATATCGATTTCTTGTGTCATTTACAGTCTACTATTGAAATTCAAGAATACACAAGTGGATACATTTTTTCTTATGATAAATAGCTTTTTCATGATACGTGAGCATGACTCTTTGCAATGTGCATGTTTGATTACCACCTTTGATGCACCATATCCTAGTCGCATTCCACCAAGGTACAACAGTTCTTCCAAATTCCCCTTTACTTTTCACTGCAATTAGCGATAAGAATGCACCCCACATATGATCGTTGCTTTATTGCTTCCATCCTCACTAGTCACAATAAAAGTTGACTAAAGCCATTTACCAAAGAAAAAGTTGAGCAAAGTTTATGATGCCATATGATTCAGCAAATACCAAATACCATAGCCACAAAAGCAAAAACTTTATTGCATAATTCGCATCAATACCCAGGTTAGTGTGATCCCCCCTTTCCCCTATCACAAACAGAAGTTGATATTTCCGATGCCATCGGAGAGATCTCTTGACACTCCAAAAATGTAGCATTGTGCCCTTTGCCAGGCGTATCATATATAACAATATATAACAGAAACCCATCAGGTAGTTTGTCAAAAAAACTTCTCGAGCGGAAACAAATGACTTGCACACGTATCTTAAAAATGGTTATACATCGCTCAATACAGTCCTCACGGTCTTCTATTTTCTTCCATCTTCTGTCGCATTTTGTATTGGAGAGTGGCGGGAGCACAGTCCAATGGTGTTTCCCCTGTATGTAAGAAGGAACCAGTCAAGTGGTGACCAAATGATGCAGTATGTGAGCAAAAGTTGCCTACTAGCTACTAAAGTGTTATCGGCTATAATCCAAATGTGAGCGAAAGAAAAAGTTCATCTATGACTCAACAGAACAACATTGATACTTATATTACTTTTCTTTCATCTATGACTCCACAAAACAACATTGATATTTATGTTACTTCATCTAAACAGGTACCCGCTGCATGCACCCACTTCCACGGGGGTACGCTCCACGCTGGTAAGACATGCACCTTTATGCAAGGGGTAAGACAACTCATGATGGTGTCTTGTATTCGGGAAGCAAAGTGCACTTATTATCACCACCTCTCATATCCCAGCTTTTGGGCAGATGATAGGAGAGATTCACCAAAAGAACAACCACATAGATACAAACTAGGCTAAATGAAGCACAATTCGACCATTCAAACACAAAAATTTATGTCGACAGGACATTCCCCATTCATGCCTTGTTAATCTTTATTAGCTACCTTACAAAATAAAGTTCAACAACAAATTAAAATCTAAGAAAACTGGGGAAAAAAATTACCCTGTGCATTCTTGTAGTCCAGGCTTGCTCCACCATCCATGAGGGCAAAAACAATCTCAGTTTGATTAAAGACTGCTGCCTGACATTAGTGTCACAAAAAGAAATATAAGCCCTGGAACCATTGATACATGCACAGACACAACAGAGAGAGAGAGAGCATACTAAATGTAGCAAAGAAAGTCCTTGCTTGTCATGGTAATTCACATCAACACCCTGCCAAAATGAGAGTGTTACATAAAACCCACTTTTTAGATATTAATTTTACTCTAGCTGTTACCTCACTCAGAAGCTTCTTGACGGCAGCAACGTCACTATTCTTTATAGCTTCTCTCATACCCTAAAAATGCACATAAAGAAGTCATAATCTAGAGCAACTAAATTTCTTCTGCATGACTGTACCTTTGGTGACTAAATAGAAAACTTAAAAGTTATACCTCCCCATTGGCTTCATAATCTGTCTGGGTTTTATCAGAAATTCCGTTGTTCGCTTGACCAAGATTGAAGACAGAACTGCAAAGTTTATAAAAATAATTACAGACCATACACAGTGTACTTTGGCACCAACATCCCACATTGCCAGTCTACAGTTAAGCATAATGCAAAAAAAATGTTGTTTACCAACATCAATGAATTAAAGTTTACAGAAACAAGTGGATGGAATGGCCATTATAGAATGGCTACAATTTCTGAATAGAACTGCACGTCTACATTGTGAACTTATCACACAGAAATCACATAGTAAATCAAGATTCAACTATCAATATTATCCATTACGTCAGGCCAGGAGTTTCAGATATGGCAAACAAAAACCTAGAGGCAACCAACCTCTGCTTGCTGTTAGACGTGGAAGCTTTGGGTTTTAAAGCAGTTTCTGTCTTCTTCGGTTTTGGAGTCGGTCGAGGAGCAGAGGTGGACATGGTTTTGCTCTGCCACGAACAAAAATATGACCTTGAGACAAATACAAGGTGCAGAACAAACGTCCAAAGAAATGGAAAATTTATACCTGCAAGGGAGCTGCATCCACGGATGGTGCTGGCGCTTCACAAATACATAAGGGCATTCCACACTTGCAGTCTGAAATGGCTGACACAGGCTGACACTGTACAGTTGGTTCAGCCTTTGGATCTACATCTGCATCAATGTCCAATCTAGAAACTGAAGCTGTTACATCATCAATTCCATCTGAAGAAGCTTGTCCGTCACCTTTGGTAGTTCTGTGCAAAAACAAAATCCAAAATCACCTAATGGTAGAAAAGATTTTTCTTTTTTTTTTTTTCAAAGAAAATAAAAGGAAAAATAACTGAGAGAAGAAGAGCAAAGGAGAAGATGACTCCCAACCATAGCAGTTTGGCGTGGGGTAGCATATGTAGGCATTATTACGAAAGTTAACAATATCAGAATGGAACACGGAATAGGGTGGAAGCTTGTAAAGTGCTCAGCATTCTTCACGAAGCATACTTTTTGAGCAGTAGGGCAAAAGGAAAGAGTAAGAAGTACAAGTGTACATGAACAACTACACACACTAGAGGAAGGCATGGCATGAATCTCCATATGTAAATATGATATACAAATGAGTACACCAGCATGATCCTTTTCAGGTTCGTTAGCCAATTATTGCCACTAAAGCACCATCACCCCTGGAGAAACCCAAACACTGAAAGGGGATTTCCTTTCCATGATTCCATTACAGCTAACTCTGAAGGCTTAGTAATATTTTATTACCAACTACTTAACAGACCAGTAGCCCTTGAATGTTTAATGAAAGAAATAAATGCCACCTTTAGAACCAAAGGAATGAGATGTAACCCAAACTGTAGCTTTCTACCGGGAGTTGCCATCTGTGGCAACTTCTCTTGAGTTTCTATTTCTAGTCGTCGACTGCTTAAATTGGTTGTTTGCAAGCTTAGCTCAACAAGATCAATTAAGTTTTCAAAAAATAGGATTTCAAGAGTCTTCAGGCTGCAACCAGTGAGTCATTTCCATCATCAATCAACTCTAGCAGTGACAGCAAGAACTCACAAACATCACAGACAGACAATATATATTTAGAATAATGCTAGGTAGACCAATTTTTTTGACCAAATTTGCAAACCATGTGATGTCACCAATAGGAAATAAGCACGTTAATCAACACTTGAGTAATAATCCAATTATCAACAACCACGTCATTTAATTTATAAAATTTTGTTCAAATAGATAGTCTCCCTAGCATTACCCTTAGATTTATAATGGATAGGATGAATGAAAAACGCCAAAACAGATATAATATACAATTGAACAAGCATGTATAGAAGTATGTGCATTGTAAAAAGTTCAATGAGGAGTAATTTACCGAGAGGAGTCATTGAAACATTCACTGCAAACTCTAACGGGTGAATAAATGCCAAACTGTGGTAAAGCCTGAGATTGCAAAAACACGATCACTCATTAAAAGTTCATCAATTGGAAGCTTTGCTGCAAAGATAAACAAAGCTTTAAGGAAAACAAACTCACCATTTGGTTTGCCGAGTGTTCGTGGCACAACGTCCGCCCACAAGACCGGCAATGATGCTGCATAAATCATAAGCTAAAGCGCATCAACTGCGCTGAATAAACTACTCCAAAAATAGTAACTTTAGTTATAACTTATTAGCATTTGGGTTCATTAACTCTAAAGTTGCTTGTGACAATCACAAACAAGAAATGCTGAATGCTTAAGTTGGATTCGAAGGTTGTATCTTGCAGCAAGATGATCAATCAATAATACCAATTGGAAAAAAAAAATCCCAGTTTTAGATCATCAGAAAAGAAGCATCATGGGCATAAATATCAAATTTTCAGCTCTGATCTTACCCAATTGGGAAAATTTTAACTAAAACTCTAAACTTTGAGATCCCAATAAAGCATGGGAAGCCATGGCAGTGGAAATTATGTAAAGGGATCCTTCTGGATTCGATATGAAAGAGAAATGAAATAAAAGGGTACTCCTAAATTAATCAAATTCCATTACTTTCTAAAAGAAAAGAAAAAATCGTCGAGAGAGAGATGGGTACCCGTCGCCTGAAAGCGTTAAAGCTGCATTTGCAGACGTCGCAGCGCGGAGCTTCTTGGAACGACGGAGGCTCCATTCACTCGCGTGCAAATTGTGGATCGATTTTTTATACAGACCGAGTCAATCTTCAATTTTCATGACTTCCTCCACCATCGAGCTCCGAGCACCTCCATTTTTCTTTTCACTCGGATTTTTCTTTACCCGGCAGATTTCGGGTTACCCGCCGAGTTTGGCTTCCGGGTTTTTTTCTTTTCCTTTCTTTTACTTTAGTTTCAAAGGATTAAATTTGAGAGATAAATGTTAAATAATCACAACCGTCCAGAACAGTCAACGTGTTGGACGGTGCAGATCATCTGCAGATTCATTATTAATTTTCAAATGATAATTGATCTTTTGCAAATTATAACATGTGATTAAAATTGTTTTGTTCTTGTTAGGTGATAGAGATTAATGAGATCGACTAAAAGCGTCACGCTTACTATAATTTTTTTTAGAGAGCTCTTAAAATAATTTTTAATTTTTTCAGTTAAAATTCAACTTTTAAATAAAGAACGTGATTTGACTGCAAATAGTTCTAATCAAATCATTAAAAGTACATTATGATGTTATTGGCACTAGGTAAAAAACACATTTACACTCTTAAAGAGGATATTTTTTCTTTAATTTTTTTAGTGAATAAGAAGCTACGGATTAGACTGGTTTAAATGAGTTTTTTAAATTCCGTCTGTAATTTGCATTTACTATTTCTTACTCTAGCCGTTTTTTTTCTTAACAAGATGGATAAGGTAACGCAAGTCAAATTAGCTTTAAAATAACTTTTTTTAAGTGTCAATTTCAAAATCTAAGATGGTTTATAATAAAGTGAATGTTCAAGTTAAAAGAAGTAAGAAAAAACAAAGTAAATAAATGCTAAAGAGACTCTCAAAAGTATGAGACTCTTTATGAACTTTTTGTCACTTCATGTTTTTTGCATATTTTTCGTGTTAATATTATAAAATATTATGCAAAAAACATGAAATGTCGAAAATTCTATAAAAAGTTTTACTTTTAAAAGATATCTCGTAGCATATCTCAAGTAAATAACATTTTATACATCGGTAAGATTTTTCCCCAAGAAAGCAATAACCCAATATATTCAAGCATTTCATTAGATCTGTAAATAGGTCGGGTTTATTGGGTTTGGGTTGAGTTCAATCCGACTCGTTAAGTTAATGGGTCATCCGAACCTAACCTGTTAAACTAACTGGTCACTCGAACCCGACCTGTTAAGCTAACGAGTCACCCGTTAACAATTATTATTATTAAAACATCCTCAACTAACGGGTCTAATGGGTTGACTCAAAGTGACCCGTTATTAACGACCCAACTCGTTAAACATTCACCCAAATACTAATATTAACATATCGGATCGAATCGGATTAACGGATCAGGTCCACATTTAACCTCACTGGGAACATTTCCCATCAATACACATCATTAGAAAGTAGAAACATATTTGTGACCACACGATCGTATGTGGTCACGATAACATCAACGGCGACGTATAGCACACTCCAATCGCCAGGGCATTGTCGTTAACGTTTTGAATTGTGGGAAAGCATCTGGACTTTAAACACGTGGGGAAATTAAAAAAAACATGGTGAAAATTAATTAATAATTGAGAGAGAGGTTGAGTCGGCCACCGGAAGACGCGGCCTTTTTTATGATTTGTTTTGTGCTTCTCTATAGTTTCTGTGAAAGTTGTGAAGCAAGCAACAAACTGTGAGGAAAAAGAAATGGAGGAAAAAGCAGAAGTTGGTTGTGATCTGAAGCTTTCAGAGATGGAGAAAGAAATGGTTGCCCAAAACAAGCCAAACCAGACAGAGGATGATCTGCAGAACATCAGGTGATCTCAAATTTATGAATAAATTGCAAATTTAGAAACTTATTTTTGTTGGGTTTTTTTTTTCTTCCCTTTTTTGATTCGAGCGATATTCTAATTAATTTAAACTACGAGAAGGGTGACTTCGAATTTGGGTTCGCTACGAATTATGGGTATGAAAGGGTTTGGAAAGAAAGGGTCAATCTTTGACTGAAATTTGGGTTTAGGAGGATTTTGTTTCTGTGGTTTGGAACAAGATATTTATTTTGTGAATTATTGGGGGTTTTATTGCAAAAGACAAGAAATTTCAGCTGCACTAGTTGTAATTATCTGGTTTTAGATAAGGTCAATTTGGATTTGTGTGCCCCCGCGGTTGCAATTTTCAGAGTAGTACTGTTCATGTTTGTTTTCCATCGGATTTTCCAACGTTGTTTAGTTTGTTGGGTAGCAGTTTGGAAAAATTAATGTGATTTAGTTTTTGATCTGGCTTGTTAGTTTTATGATGCTGGTAGATTGTGTTTATGCTTCATAATTTTATTTTATTTTTTGTCAAACGATAGATTTTGTTAGATTAGGTATTAGAATAGCCATCGATGGGTTTGAATTCATGCTGTCATGCAAGGCTCAACTTCTTTCCACCACTGTGCTTCATAATTTTGGGTTGGCAGGAAATTGGATCTTTGTGGTGCTTTCTGTTTTGGAAACAAGAAATTAAGGCAGAATATATAGCAGATTTGGTTATTATGTAATTCTGTTTCTTTTAACTGCAACTCTAGATTTGGGGCTTGTTTGCTTCTGTCAAAAGCGCATCTGCTAGAAGTGCTTTTATGAACTTGGCTGCTTTTGGAAGAGTTAAATGCGCGTCCGACTTGGTTTGGCAACTTGGCAGTTCTTCCCCAAAAAAACATCAATTTTTTTATAAAATTCAAGTGTTCGTTAAAATGAGCTTCAATGACCTAGAGACAATTTTAAGTTTTTTTTGACAAAAGTAGTCAAAAGTGCTTCTACTTGTCAAAAGTTCTTTTAGCCTTGCCTTGCACTTTCTTAGGCTCACATGAAATTTGGTTTGTCGTTGTTCTTTATGTTTGAGTGCCAGGAAAGGACCATCTGCACTAAACATTACCAGTCCTGCTCCGGCTCAGCTTACCATCTTCTATGCAGGGAGCGTTAGTGTGTTTGACGCAATTACTGCAGAAAAGGTAGGTTCTTTTCTGTCCTTAAAATAACGTAAGCATTAAGCAATATGCATCTCACTCTGTCATTTACATACTTGAGTATTTCTGTACTGATGCACTTAAATGCGTAATAGGTTCGTGAACTTATGCTTATTGCTGCTGCTGCTGCTGATAAGAAGACCAGTGATGTGAAGAATACTGCGACAAGCGGTCCTCCAAGTCCACTGGTTCGTACAGGGTCGTCCTCGCTGCAAAACTCTTCTGCTCCTGGTTCACCAGTTGTCCAGCCCTACCCTGATCAGAAGAGTTCCACCAGCAAATTGGAAGCTGGTAAGAATTCAATACTTCACCCAAGACGTAGTAACGTGGATGCAATAATTGTAAATTCCTTAACGAGATTATTAATGATGGCTTCATGGTTCCCACTTCATTGTTTCTGTTGGTTCAGGGTTTCCCATTGCAAGGAGACACTCTCTTCAGCGCTTCCTGGAGAAGCGACGTGACAGGTACCCCTTTCCAAATCCTGTGATGGGTTTTCATTTTGTCACCGTGGCCATCTCAGTTTACACATCGATTACTGTGTTTTTATTGTTCTTTGTTCATTCTTGCAGGTTGGTCAGCAACAGTCCATATCCTACTTCGCCAGCAACACCGATGGACGACAGCTCAAAAACTAATCCGAGCAATAACGCTTCTCCGGGTGTGGGTTGCTTCAAACAATCTGCCATGGTTCAGGAAGAAACTCAACCAAGTTCGGTTGCCTAGCCAGCTTGAACTTCTATGATTCTATCCTATTTTATGTCTCAGCATATGTGTAGTAATTTCGCAAAGACGACATTTAACGAGTGACTGTTGTGTTTAAATTGCCCGTTCGTGCAATCGGGTCCGCGCGTGTATAAATCATCCGTCGATTGAAACAGAAAACCAACCCTGAATGACAGATTGGTGGTCAACGATGAATTCCGTGTTTGATTGGTGACGAAGAATTTGTGAACTTGTTACCCCTGTTTATGCCGAGGCGGTTCGATTGTATTCGTTATATTACATTGTAGACTTGACTATAACAAATGACAAACTATTTGTGTTCCCTTGGTCGTGTGATGAACATGAAGCTGCTTGTTATAATAAATCCCAGTTTGAACACCGCTGTCTTGGCTTTGCATTCTATGGCACCCGAAATGTATATCAATCGACCTCGATTCGGCAGTTAGTGTTGGAACCAAATTTGCAGAGTTAGGCACGGTGGCTGAACCTCAAACTAAAGTTCCGGTGGGAACTTGTACTGTATGAGTCCCCACTCGAGCGGTTCAGCCACGATCTAAACAAGAAATTCTTATCCACGAGGTTAGGCAATGTAGAATTCAACCACAAGCAATTTTCACAGCCAACAAACTGCCTCTTTTCCTCTGGAATAATAGGAAATACTGGAAGGAAACACATGCACAAGCAGATGAGGGAAGCATATAAAATTAACAGCGAGTAATCGTCGATAAAACATATGAAGTTTCAAGCACCACATATTACAACACAAAGAAAGATCCAAAATACCATACGGTAAACTCACATTTATTACCGTCTAACTTACATTCTGCGTTTTCAGTGTGCGCTACGCAGAATTCCATGTAAGTAGCCACCGGTCATTACAAGCGACACAAGTGATACAACGCCGGCTGGAAAGACCTTCCCTGACTTCTTGAAACGAGAACCCATCACTGCTAGGAGGGCAGCAGACAACCCTGGAGGTAGGAGAAAATGAAATTTGGTAAATTAGTTAAGGTTGAACAAAATCAAGAAATTCAACTGCACTTGCAAAGAGCAAAAAGGGATAATCCAAGAATTGTCCGTACTCTGCGGCATCAGACAATTGAAATATGTCAAGCAAACATAATCTACCAATCAACTACTGCAGCAACTATCAACATAAGTACATGAGATGATTGCGACGATCACTTACCAAGCCCGATAGATGATGCAAACACTGGTCTTACGGGAAGCTCAGTAGAAACATAAAAGAGTAAGGCCGCTGATATTCCCCCTGCCAACAGTGACTTCTGGCTGCCACTCTTCAAAAAGCCCATAAGGCCACCCACTGTCAAAAAAGCAACGGGACATCAATAAACTGATATGTTCCTAGGGATAATTGCTATCCATGAGATAATTATTTGATTCCCAGGATTGTTGTCTTGGGACACAAGAAGCTAACTGGAAGTTTAAAACTAAGCAGGTACCTCGAGTACGAAAGACTTAGTGACATTTGGAAGATACTGGACTGTAAAGCTTCTCGAACTAAAAGAAAAAATTGTAGACCAGTTAAAAAAACTTCGAACTTGCAAACACAAAAAGTCTTCCTATGGGAACCAACCATATCTATAACCCGACCTATATTGCAACGCTACTAAAAATCACCTATAAACTTGCAAATACACATTACAACCAGAATCCATAACTCCGTAGCCGGATCAGAGATCACCAATAAATCGGAAACCAACCGTTATACTATTCGACATCAAACACGAAATGCTTTACTCCCTTTGACATTACAAGCACAACTCAAGGCCTAGACACAAAATTTAGCAACAATCGCAACAACCCCACAGGAAAAATCTAACTATTATCTACCTTCCTAATCAATTTTACAAGATAATCAAGGATGTTAACTTTAAATTTTACAAGCTAACCAAAGATGTTAACTTTACATTTTACAAGATAATCAAAGATGTTAACTTTATATTTTACAAGCTAATCAAAGACGTTAACTTTATTATTTACAAGCTAATCAAAGACGTTAACGATTCGAAAGCAAAGGAATTTGATTGATTACCTCCAACAAGGGCAGCATATCCTAGGGTTAGTTTCTGAGACATCGACATCCCTTTCTTCTTGATCTCTTCAGGTCCCTCCTCGCCCTCCCCTTTACCCTCACTATTATCACCTCCACCTCCACCCCCTCCGCCGCCGCCGCCTCCCCTACCGCCAAAATCACCCCCACCGTCTCCGCCGCCGGCAACCGGTTCGATACCGATATCCTTGATTCCCGAATCAACAGTGAATATGGTGGTAGTTTTGGTGTCGGAAACCACTCCAAGCCTTTGAATCGACGTGGTGTAGCTCAAACCGCGAGATGCTCCGAATCCGTGAAAGGTGAGATTGCTGTTGTGCTGCAGGCTCCTAGCTCCGCCGCCAGCGAGGGGAAGAGAAATGGCGGTGTTGTGGAAAGCTCCGATTTTGGGGCGTAGGAGGAAAAGGGAGGACTGGGAAATGCACAAGTCTGCCATATGCGTGTGAGCTTTTTTATTTGGTTTCTGGATTCTTCGCGTGGCTTTAGGTTTATTTCTTCCTTTTTTTACCTTATTGACAATAAATCGTGGGCACTACATGCTACTCCACGTTGCACGTCCAAAGAAGGAAGAAAATATTTGAACTTTTATTGCAATCAAATGGATGAAAAGGGGGAATATTTTGCATATCTTTAACAAAAAATTAAAAAAAAAATCCATTAGGAGAACGCTAATGACTCGTTTATTTTCTATATAATTGAATTGAAGATGAATCAAAATTAAGTTTATGTTAAAAATTGTTTACTAAATCATCTAGAATCGAGTCATTTAGTACTACGGTCTAATTACATACAAACCCTTGAAATTTTTGTGTTTTCACAAAATTCCTTCATGTTTTGCACGTATCACAAACACTCCCTACCATTTTAAAATCATTTCACAAAGCTTTTTCTGTTAGGACTCCGTTAGTTTTACCTGACATTAGCATAAAGTAATTTAAAATGACAAATCAACCTCCTGTAGCTATTCCAGTTAGAAATATAGCATCACACTTGTAGCCCAACACTCCAATTCGGCATTCCCCTACATTAAACAGACCATCTTTTTTCGCTCGGTGCTCTCCTTATCCTTCAATTTTCTCTCGTTTGCTCTCACTTGCTTTCACTGTCTTGCCAGCCAAACATACACCACAGAATCAAATTCGAATTCAACTCACAAAACGAATGAAATCCATTGAAGTTGAATGAAGCCCTGAAGCTGATTTCGTTAATGATATTTGCAAAATATTGCAGAGGTGGAGTCTACCAATTGCAATTGCAATTCGAAATTAGTTAAACTTCTCCATTTTCTAGGAACACAAGCTGATCTTCTACGTAAAGGCCCAATCAATAAAATTAGGAGAGGCCCATTAGGCCCAAGATGAAGCTTCCTCACCAGTTCCACTAGAACAAACCTCACACGCCCACAGCAAATCACAAACGAAATCAACACATCCTGCTCCCCTTTCCGCCAAATCTAATCAACTATGCAGCGTTCGAAATCCCGCCAATTCGATCCCTGAACCGGTGCTGAACCAAATCATGGGTCGAAGAATCATGGAATGGGCTGCCCGGTCCGATTACATGGGCGGCATTCCGAGGAAGATGGTGATCACGGCGGTGGGGGGTCTGGCGAAGGTCGTCGTCTCCCTCCTCAACTCCACCACCGTCCACAATGCCGACACCCTTCTCCGTCTGGTCCGGTCTCGGCCTAATGGGGTCCCACTCGTCACTGTCAGCAACCACATGTCCACCATGGACGACCCCTTTTTGTGGGGTTTCAAGGGGTTCCCCAGCACTGATGCGAATTTGGCGAGGTGGGTTTTGGCCGCCGAGGACATCTGCTTCAAAAATTCAGTGTTTTCTTACTTCTTCAGACTTGGTAAGTTGAATTTGGTTTCATTTCTTTGTTTGATTTGGGGGTTTTTGCACATTGTATCTGTTTTTTCGAGGTGGGATTTGTTTTTGATGTGCTGATTTGGTCAGGGAAGTGCATTCCAATTACGCGGGGTGGCGGCATTTATCAAGAACACATGAACGAAGCTCTTGAGAGATTGAGTGAAGGTTCATGGGTAATCACTTCTTAATCTTATGTTAACTGTTCTAGTTTCTGCTTAATGGGTCAGTCTAGTTTCACTTACTGAGCACTTGTGGGAGATATTGAATCATTGTTCCTTAGACTGTGAATGTGCTGAATTCGATGACATATGTCGTGCTGTAGATATCACTCACCTGAGTTTTTTATGTAAAGTTTGGAACTTTTGGGGCTGATGCCTTCTTCAGTTGTAGTTTGTGAAATGGAATGTTACCTTATAGACTCAAGTAATTTTGAAAAAGTTGTTTACTTGTGCTGTAAAGTGTATATCTATGTGAAAGCTTTAGTTATTTAAATTCAAACTTTTGGATCTCTGATGGGCAGTTGCATACATTTCCTGAAGGAAAAGTATACCAGGAAGATGCACCTATAAGACGATTGAAGTGGGGGGCTGCTAGTCTCATTGCTCGTGCTCCTGTAACCCCTATAGTTTTGCCAATTGTTCATACTGGGTTTGAACAGGTAATTTTCTTTTCTTAGGATTCTTCCTCTTTATCTTGACATTTGTTTCTTTTAAGATTTTGACTAGATTGCTATTAGATTTTAGTGCTAAAGATGGACACCCCCCCCCAACCCCAAACTCTTCCTAACGAAATGCGACTCTGACATGTTTTCTTAACAATGCATTATTTACAACAGTATCACAAGCTGTCTGATTGAATATTCTTTTTCAATTCCTTATGAGATGTATGACGTGAACCTGGGTATTAGTTTCATCCATTTAACACGATGGTCCTTGATTGATTCTGACTTCCATTTCGTTGTCTCTCTCTATCCAACATACTCTTTGTCATTTGTATTCAGGTTCCAATCAATTGACTGAAAACTTTAGCCATAACATTGTAACCTGACATCCAAATGGCTAGCTGTGTGGTTTTGGGAATGATTGCTTCACAGAATATCGTTGTAGAAAATTTCAGCTTTACATCTTTTTGGGGATATTAGAATTTCAGTGTGCCTAAAAAGCTTATGGATTTGGCAGTTAAAACTGTTTCTGTTATGCATTCAATATGTCATGAAAAAATTGCACTACTGACGTATGGTTTATTACATATGTTGACATTACCTAAGGTGCACCAGAAGATCTAGTTAAATTTGCTGATATCATGAACTTCTGCTGTGCTATTCAATGATTTTGTCCACTTTTCGTTATGCATGTCTTACTCTTTGTAAGTCCTGCACAATGATGTAGTTAACTGGAGCTATTCATATCGCATAACTTTATCGTTTATCCATTTACACAGAAAGTAAAAATACGTATCAACTTACATTTTTGTGATCATCTTTTGTTTTTGGTTATTTTAACTTTACCAATACAGATCTTTTGCGACCCATTTGTTCAACATTGCTCATTTCCCATTTGCTACTATTTAAATTTCCAGGTGATGCCTGAGAAGTTTTTTCGTGGTAAAAGGCCTCCGTTTCCGTTATGGAATAAGCGCATTAAGATAATAGTTGGCGAGCCAATGGAATTGGACCTTCCTGAAATGAGGCGGATGGCAACCTCTCTGTCTCGTAATACATCACATTCTACTCGAGGATGGCCAAGCACCTGCCCTGGTGGTTTGGACGAGGCAGCGCAAAAACATCTGTACAGTGCAATTTCCGAGAAAATCCAAAATGTCATGGAGCGCTTGCGGCTGTTTGCTAAAAGTTTTTCAAAGTCCAAAGATCAAAATCTTTGCAAGCATAAGTAATCTTTTGAGGTATGTCCAACAGTTGGAAAATTACATTTGAACCACATTGAGATATACTCCTAAACGGGAAGCGGATGCATCCCTTTACTCCAGCGTTCAATCAGTGAGTTCCGGTTCTATCTAAGTAACAGGATCCTGCCGGCTTCATTCTACGTCATGCAGTTGAATAGTTAGTTAGTAGTTATTTTACAAAACTTGTATTGTTTTATGAGGTTCGTTTGTAGCATCGTCCATTTCGTAGTTGATTTTACGAACCATTCTTGTACCATTACTTCTTGTATGTTACAACATAAAAAGGATCGAATGACTTCAAATTCTCCTCTTACTGTTACCATGTGTACAAATTTTGAATTTGGTGCAAAACTGAATGCAATGACGTTTTAAAATTCATACAGCCGATTCCACAAAGATACGGTTGTTGTTGTTGTTGTATTTATATGTTTGTAAACAAATAACTTAAGAAAATTTGCATTATTGCCTTTTTTTTTTCCTTCTAATTCTTTAGTGATACTAAAAGCTACAACAAACCTTGATCTTAAACCATCTAAAGAAGATGTTTTTATAAAGGGGAAAAAGAAACAAGTGCGGGCTCATTTCACATGTTGCTCTACATTTCGACCAAACTTTTGTTGTTGCTGCACATGCTTTGTAGGCTTGTCCCAGACACAAGTAATAGAATGTACGTTGGATACTATGATACATAGAAATCGATCCGCTTAAAAATTTCGGACGCAAAACTTACAACTCTTAATTACTTGAGCTACAATTTTCTTAGAGTCACTGCAAAACTAACAATTCTTAATTATTTGAACTCTAAGTTTCTTACTGTCACCGGACAATATTTAGAAAATGGAGACGAACTAATGATAACATAATAGGTTAGGTGGTTTCAAAATGTGAGGATTAGGGTTGCTTAAATTAAGAGGTACCATCATTGTTGGAGGGAAAAACATTGTTGCCTTGATGGGATTGGAGACCGTGAAGTGCTTTGCTGTCTCAAAGCAGAGCAGAAAAGGACCTTCTCTCTTTACCTGCTGCTATAAATAATTTTGTGCAGTGCAGTCGGTGGCTTTTCTTGGTCGTTCTCATTAGGCCCATTTGTATGTGGGACTTGCACACTCCTCCTCAACTTTCTCATGATTTCCCTTTAATGCAACTTAAGCTCCTTAATTTGTTCACCTTTCTGGGTTTTCATTGTTTGTTTTTGCCCTTTACAACATTATATATAGAACGCCCTCGTGACTGTTCCGTAACGAATAATTCATGGTCGCTCACTTTTAATTTTATTGTTAAGAGTTGAGATCAAAATTGAGTGATTATGCATTTCTTGATCACCTGGTGACCATGAGAATATATTTGTGATATGAAAAACATAAATTTAATAAATTAATCTATAAATTCATATATGTAATTTGTGTTGCCAAGCCAATCAAGTGGCAATACTCGTGAGTTGTATAATTGTATTAACTCTTGTTCTACATTTGGCATGAGGCGGCAATGCCGGCTAGCTTCTTGAGCAGTCATCATCATAGGTTGGCATAATTTGGCTTTTCCATACAGCAAAGCAAGGTACTTTGCATAACCATTTTGTATAAATATAAATTAATATAGGGATCCAATTTCCTTGTTTGAAAAAAAGAAGTCGATGAATGTTAAAGATGCAGGCTCCACACTTGGATGTATTTTGGGACATGGCACCAACCTTCTAAGACATGGGGGTATTCATATACTTTTAGCTGATAGATTTTTAAGGTGATAAATCCACAAAAAGACGTATACCTATAAATGTTTTTAGTAGTTAGAATAGTATTTTGTTATCAGATAATTATGTTAAGACTCTGAAATCTATTTGAATCACATTATTACACCTTTTGTGAGGGTTGAAATTTACCCGATAAAGAATTTCGCTACCTTAAGACCGTTATAGTTACGACCGTCCAAAAAAGCAAAAATATAATCATGGTGGTTTAAAAACTGAAATCATGTCCAAACATGTGGTACTAATTGAACTTAAACACGATGAAATTATTATTAAAACCACAAGACCTTAAGACGATGAAAGTTGTTGGTTTGCTCGTTTCTGGCTTGATGTTGCTGCCTTACCATCAAGCCATAAAAATATAATCAGATTATGAATTATGCTTCGACCTTAAGACGACGGGGCAAACAAAATCAAGATTATTTAAAAAGTGAAATTCGCCACTTAGTACTACGGTTTAGTGGTATTCCTCTTCGCTTGTAAGTAAGAGATCTTAGGTTCAATTATTGTCAGAGATGAATTTGAACCACGTTATTGGTAGCTCATTGTAAGACTAAGCCCACTATCTCTTATTTAGTATAGATAATACCGATTGTTAAAAAAAAAAGTGAAATTATGTCCAAATAGGCAAATATGTAGGTATTAATTAAGCTTTAACAAAAAGATATTATTGTTATTTTTCTCTCTTTTTTCGGTAAAAGCGAGTAAAATCATAGACAAAAGTGAAATTATTGGCTTCTAGAGTAGGAAACTTGGAAGGTTAAAGTTAGATTGATGGGCCCATCACACAAATGTCCCACAAGTACAAGCTTTAGCGGGTGGAAGGCCCAAAAGTTTGGGGCATTTCCCGCCCCAGGACACTTTCCAAATTACAGTACTACCCTTCCGTACATTTTCAAATTATACATACATCATATCAAAACTTTATCCTCGAAAAAATAAACGAAAAATTCGAATTACAAATGACCAAAGGTAGGAGGATATAATGGTCATTTCACACGTGGAAAACTGGAAGGATTGAAAATGCACAAGAGGAAGCACCCGAGCGAGCAAAAAAAGCAAAAGCTTTAAAAAATATATGTTTGTTGAATTTACGTAAATGGCCTTTGTCGTTTATTATAGTCCCGTGATTCTCTCTGCTTTCACAGGAAGCAGTGGTGTCTTTGAGGATTTTTGAAGCTCAGATCTCTCTCTCCTCCCTCTCTCTCTCTCCCCTCTCCGTTCGTTCAATCGTGCAGAGGTCAGTATCAAAGAGAAAGAGACCTTCTTGTTTTCCTGTTTCATCGATTTATGAATGCCACATTACATTTGATTTTCTTCTGGGTTTTTTTCTCTGTTCGTTCTATCTCTCGATCTGTTATCTCCTCAGAGCCAAATCCAAAGACCCAATTGCAGGCAGGCAATAATCTGACCAAAGGTTGGTGCTTTCTTGATTTTTGAGGTATTTTATCTTCTGGGTTTGCTCGTTTCTGGCTTGATGTTGCTGCCTTACCATGAAAGCTGTCCGCTTAATGCGTTGGAAATTATTAGGATGCGCTGATTATGTTTTGATTGTGTGATGTTTCGTATGAATGTGTTTTTTTACTTGTTTTTGTGTTTTTTCTGAATTTTATAGGCAGGGGACATAAGGTTTGTTTTTTTTTGTTCATCTTAAGGAAGATAACCTCGTACTAGAAAGATTTGAGGAGCTGAAGCTGTTTCTGGGAAGTGAGTGTGTGCCTCTGTCTGTGGGGGTTGCAGTGAAATGACAATTGACCTGAACCCGTCAATGTCGCAAAGTGTGAGAACTTTTAGCTCTAGCAATGGAAATGAGGATTCAACTCCTTTACATGGCTCTGCTGCTGCAGCATTTTCGAATGGGGATGACTATGACAGTGATAGCTCCAGCTTGGCACCGCAGTAAGTTCGCTTGTATATTCCTCTTGAGCCTGTCTTCAAATTTCGCATTGAATGCCTTAATTGTTCTGCTTACGAAGTCATTATGCCTGTTTTGTTTGTTAGCAAATTAAACAAGAGCGAGGCATGGCATAGTATCTCCGGTTGTAAAATTGTTGTTTGAAATCAGTCTTAATGTCTCATTGTAATAGTACTATTACAAAGATGGGTTCTTAAACATGCTGGTTAGCAAAACTGATGAGCAGTTTGCAGTTAACTTGGTATGATGCCGTCCTACCTCTGACCGCAGCATTCTTTCCTCATGTTAATTGCAGAACACCAAGGACCTTATCCATGGACATCCCGGCAGAACTTGCTGGTGCCATACCCTTGATTGATAGATTTCAGGTAGGAGCATATATTCTCTCATAATCAAGGTGATATGCTTATACAACATACATAACATGTGTGCGCATACATTTCAATGTTCATTTTCCTTTGGGTTTTTTTTGTTCCTGAAATTAAATTACTCGAAGTACATAGATTACTTATTGCTCATTGTTTTAGGGCAATCAACAGTTGTTATGTTTTTCATATAAATTATTTTCTTTTGAAAATAGGTAGAAGGATTTTTAAGGTTGATGCAGAAACAGATTCAGTCTGCTGGAAAACGCGGATTCTTTACGAAAAAATCCGTTGGTCCTCAATCCCGAGAGAAGTTCACTTTTGAGGATATGTTGTGCTACCAAAAGGTAACTACATGCTATGTTTCATAATGCTTCTTTTTATTAAAATATAAAACCCTTGAAGAACTAAATTATGGGCTTTTACAGGATCCAATACCTACATCATTACTGAAAATAAATAATGACGTGGTAAGCCGGGCAATGAAACTGTTCCAAATAATTTTGAAGTACATGGGAGTTGATTCATCTGATCGAGTTACTCCAGCAAGCTTAGATGAACGTATAGAGCTTGTTGGAAAGATGTTTAAGCAAACATTGAAGCGAACAGAGCTTCGGGATGAACTTTTTGCTCAAATTTCAAAACAAACAAGAAATAATCCCGATAAGTATGCATCTTTTTCTTTCCAGTCATAGTGTTTTGTTTCTATGATAGATATGATTTGGGTGTCTACAAGGCAGTGGTAAAACCATTGTCAATTCTTTGCTCCATGAGTTGACTTAGTTGGTTTTGGTATAACAGGCAATATTTGATCAAAGCATGGGAATTAATGTATCTGTGTTCGTCCTCTATGCCTCCGAGCAAGGACATTGGGGGGTATCTGTCCGAGTATGTCCACAATGTCGCACATGGTGTGGATATTGACTCTGAGGTTCGAGTCCTAGCAGTAAATACATTAAATGCTTTGAAGCGTTCTGTGAAGGCTGGTCCGAGGCATACAATACCAGGCCGCGAGGAGATTGAAGCACTTTTAACCGGTCGAAAGCTAACAACAATTGTGTTTTTCTTGGATGAAACCTTTGAAGAAATCACATATGATATGGCAACAACAGTGGCTGATGCTGTTGAGGTAGGCTTATCAACTTCAATGGGAACTATCTGTTTAGGTACCAACAGATTAAAAGGAAAAAATTATCACAAAAATAAAGAAGTCAACACGGGCCTTGTGGTCAAACAAAGTGGCAACTGGCTAGCCATTGCTCTGGTAGGTTCTCACAAAATTAAAA